ATGTGATCACAGCCTTTAGTACTTTTAGACTTTACTCAGCCTATTTCAGGTTACCTGTGAGCACATTCAATATTTACCAAAGTCAGTGATCAGTTCTAATGGACCTTTCGGTTTAGCTACAATTACTAACTGTAGGACAATTGCAGTTGCCTTGAAGAAGAAGTTGGAATATTGTATGAGCAGAGTAGCCCCATTACACAAAGTCAAGGGAACAGAGCCAAGGTGAAGGAAAAGGGGGGTGAGTAGGATGCATCCTGCAATGTATTGATTGGGAAAGCTGCCAAAGGGTTTTCAGTTCAGTTCGTTTTAGCCTCTGGCCATGAGAAAAAGTTGCAAACAAAGCAACAGCTAAACAAACAACAGGTTAAAACAGCCAATCAATAACCATATATTACAATGCCTATAAATATACATAACAAGAGGTTTTGACAGATGTCAAAACAGATGTCAAGGAAGTTTGAACAAAATGGACAGCACTTAAAATAATACATTCTTGATGCTAACAGACACAACTCCCTCCTCTTCCCCCACCAAAATGTACTTGATTATGTTTTTGTGCACGTCTCTTTTTTAAAGCTGTGAATATATTCCTCCATAGTGAAGTTACTTCCTCTCGCCCCATCCCAGCCCCAGTTATAAGAGGATGGGCTGGTTTCTCTATACCATCTGTGCGCAAAGGTAGTTAAACTACAATCTTTTCTTTGTGTGGTATGACCAGTTGTTAATTCAAGGTGCAATAACTTTAAGCGCAATGCTCAAGGGCTTCACCTTGTTCTCTGTGTCGATATTGTCTCACAGCACAATCCTCAGCAGACTTACACCCTTCTAAGTCCATTGAAATAAGTGGTTTAGAAGGGTGTAACTTTGCTCAAGATGACACTATTAGATGTCTGTGAATCCAGATACAAGTGCATTAATCTGTTTTTGTTTGATACATACAATTGGGTTATTATTTTTGAATGTTCTGCTATCTTTTGGTATGGGAAGTATATTCCTTTGAGGCAGAGGTAACTGAGAAGACAACCTCTTGACAGGAAAGTGGAACCACAGCTAAGGTCAAATAAGCTCCTGACAGTGATAAGTGTGAATATTATTTTTGCTTCTATGCCAAATTTTATCACCTTCCCACCAACAAGTTGGGTGCTTTCAGTTAGTCTGTACATGTCAGAAAACACTACTTCATCTAATGTTACGAGTCATTTTTGTAGAAACATTAGTGTCAGATCTTGACAACTGTTTTCAAAAATTGTGTTTTTATAGAATGCTTTTTAGAAGCCTGCCATTCAACTTCTTTGGCAGCCATTTGAAGCCCATTTCAATATTTGGGATGAGTAAGGCCGATTAGCATCATTTTACCACATTCTTCCTGATGGGCTAATAGTTATATAATGACCACAAATAGCCTCCACACCCTGAAAGTGACAGACAAAGTTTCAGATTCTACTCTTGGGCAAGATGTTAAAACTCTTTCCTGCTATGGAGTTTTGTCTTCTGCTTGCTAGGCTGTGCCTCAGGTACCAATGACCAATCGTTGAGTTGTCTGCAAAAAGCTGGAAAGACCTGAAGGTCACATATTCCAGTCTCTGCACTGAGGCAAGATTCTCTTTAAAAAAAAATCCTAACATGTTACCCTCTTAGAATTACCTGGGCTAACAGACAAGTAATGGGCTAACAGACAAGCAATGGGCATATTCTGGTTCATACCTGGAATTCTAATTCTCAGGTCAGTGAGGATGGAGCTTCTTGTTGATTTTAATGGAGCTGGGTCACATCCAATAAGAATAGCCAAGGTTTGCTATAACAGAAGTAGCTTTAGGACAATAAAAGCTGAACCCCACAAATATAAATGACTCAAGGAAGAACATGCTGTAGGAAGGGATGGTGTGGGCTAGACAGCAAAATCCAAGTTTTCAAATAAATATGGCCTGGTGACTAAAACGTCCATGGCTGAAGAATGTATGTAAACGTTTGCAGAACATTTAATTTTCACCACAGAATGATCACAACTGTCATTGGAATAAAAGTCTCCCAAATCAGATACTATAATTTCTATGCAGTCTTGACCTTTGGTATCTCTCAAGAAATTACTGCATGAAAGGAAGACAGCAGGTTAGGTTGAAGGAGAAGGTGAAAGATTAGAGTGCAGATTTTCTCTTATCATTGATATGCTCAGGTCTCCATGTTCTTTTTCCTCTAACCAAGCTCCTTCAAAATTTAACTGGCTCTTCGCCTTTGCAAGAATTCTTGTGCCCCTGGGTGAGGGTCACTAGCTATTCTTATCTTGGGGAATGAAGAAAATGTGGGATGGTGAAGATGGTATATTTGGTCAGTCTTAGAAATTGCAGGAAGATAATGAATAAAAAGCAATTTTCTAGTCTATTGGGTCAGATTCATTTAGCACATCAATCTTGTTAAGCCTGTGAACACTTTTTGGAATTTTGAAACTCTAGAATTCTAGTGGGGACAGCTACAAAATGATCACCATATGGGGCACAGTCAACAATCAAATAGCTACCATGGGGTCTTGATCTAATAATGAAATATTGGAAGGTTCCAAACAAAGTGTCCTTATGCGATGAAAATAGCTGTATTGGTGTTCTGTGTAGACATAAAAGTGATCCCTTCAGGACTCTTCTGAAGCATGTACTGCTCCTGAGAGATGGAGAAAAACCTGGACTAGCTCTTTGCTTTGAGAAAGAAGTAAGTGAGCATCAGAAAACACATCTGTACCATCATGACCACCATGGATACCACATTTGGGCTCATTAATTAAGAGCTTTACAGATCCAAACTGGAGCGTGAAATATTGTGACCCTGGACACTGCAGAAGAAGAATGAACCCTCCTGTAACATACCATACAACAGAATTACCTCACTAAAAGAGATGCTAATGTAATATTTCTAGTCTCTGATGGAAGAAACCATGGATAATATACAACAAAATAGGCCATGGCCTATCTGAACTGAGAGTTGAAGTTTCCAGAATTCAGGCTCTAGTTCTTAGTTAGCAAACTATTCCACTGTTGGATGATATGCACAGTTTGTCTGAATTGAAAACAATAGGAGAGTTGTGTGGTGTCACAGGCAAACTCTATGTTAATGAATCCATGCTATCTTCATGCAGTACCTTTCCACTCATAAACCAGCACTACTGAACTAGTGGATGCCACAGAGATGACAGCTAGAACTACTAAGCTGCTGCATGACAAGAAGCAGAGAGGGATGGCTATGCATGTAGTGAAAATCTTCCCTAGCAAATCCCCAGGATCTATTCTCTGCTCTAAAAAATGAACTCTCTGACTTCCTGTCTTCCCAAGCCCTGCAGAAACCATCCAGAAAATGCACTCATCTTATTATGCAATATATCCTAAGTTTCCTATTCATATTCAAGAAGTCTAGAATTAGTTTTTTGATGTATGGGACACAAGAAACAAAGTCTGAGCCACGAATTAACATACAACTGAACAAAATAAAAATAAAGCATCAGTGCTGTGAGCTCATCAGTGAGCTAAATACAACCTTCATAGCTAATGGTTTGATGCATATAAATGACTGACAATTGAGACACCCATACATTTCACAGATATCTACAACCATCATCTACTAGCTTGATGGTTTAAAACAGTTACAAAAGATCAGCCATAACAACAGAGCTTTCTGCCACATGACCAGTATTCCATACAGGAAACAGTGCAATGGGCCCGTGTGAGCCCCACCTGCTGACCTTTCACCATTGTGCCACATTTTCCTAGGAGACCTCCCCAGGCCTCAGACCAGGTTGAGGAGAGAGTTCAGGTTCACTCTCATCCTCCTTTGCTCTGAGTTAGACTGCTCTAGCAACAGGGAGCCACCTCTGCCCCATTTCTTCACTGGCATTCACGGAAGCCTCCCATTTAAAGATGCTGTCTCCACCCCATTTTGTCCCCTGGGACATAATGCCCTCCTGCTGGCTAAGCCTGTGCTCCAATTACATGGAAGCCCTGGCCCCTGCCTGCCTGGACACAACCTTTCAGACTAGACTTTGGCTGTTGCTGCAGCTGCCACATTCCCCAGCCTCCTGGCACAGGGCGGCCATGCCATGGAGCTTCCCTTGTTGGTGCCAGGCAGTTCCATCCTCCCCTCTGCTCCACCATAAAGTGGCTTGCAGCTCCTACATAGACAAAACTTATGTGGGGCATGCCTGTAGTAAGGAGGGCAGATAGGTGAGATTGAGAAAAAAGGCTGCCTGAATCCACCCCTTTGTTAATTGGAATGGTAATTTAGATTTGTATTATGAAAAGGCAGGGCAATACTCTTTGGAAAATCAGAGTTTTGCTTTATTCATAGCAAACATGCAGAAGAATAGCAAATGAGCAGACAGTGGGGAAAAACACAACAAAAGCAAGGCTTCAAAAATTGAAAAACATGAGAAGATGCAAGATTACTCTGAGTTCATGGACACCAGCTCAGAGTTAGACATCAGGGAGGCTGTTATGTCATGAAGATAAATTTCTATGAGAAAGCATTTTTTTAAAAAGCATGCTCATAAGGGAACTACACAACTATAGAGCTCAGTTTTAAGAGATTGAAGTATTATCAAGAAATAAAGTCATGGCTTGTATCCCCATTTATCACTGACTTCTTATTCAGAAGGATTCTTTAGAGTCCTCAATACCCAATACAAGTGATTATGGATAACATTCTATTATCCAAACATAGAAAAATTACAAACAAGGATCCATTATGAATGAGACACCACAACTGGCTTGTTTGTAAACTGTAGTGTTTGTGGGTACATTGGCTTGGTCTCCCCAAGTCACTCAAGCCCTCAGTTCTGAGGTCCTCCTGGCAGCATCAAATTGCGGCTGCCTTGTTAGTTAGGGATGTTCTACATTTCTATCTAGTTTACTCATTCTGATTCAGATCCATTAAGCATTTTTCTGTTACCCCAAGCATGATTTTTTTAAAAATAAAACACCTTAATGTGGATTTGCTCCTAAGGATATTCCAAGATTACTCACTAGTGCAAATTCCTTGTTGAGAATCATCTGCTCCACCAGCGACGACTCATTATGGAAGAGATGTGGCTGCATGTGACTCCACATATGTGGAAACCACCAGAACTCATCCACAGAATTTAGCAATAGGTCATCACCTTCATCCTCTTCAATGGTTCCTGCAAAGATAAGGAATAACTGTAAATGATATTCTGAACTATCTTGAACATTTTTTTGTCATATGGATGATTGCTACATAATTTATGCTTGAATTTTACTCACTGAATTGTATTATAATAACAGATCATATAATGCTAAAAGGCGTATAAAAGAACAAAATTTAAATTATACCTGCATTTAAATTATACTGACACATGCAAGATTCCATCACACATAGACTGTCCTTATGTCACCTAAACCTATAGCTTTACCATGCCACAGATCTGTGGCCCAAGAGTATATTATGCTGATGTGCCAGCTACTCAATTAATATGTGAATCTCACTGCATAGAACCTAGCAAGGCTGGCCACCTGCTCCTAATTTCAAGGAATAGATCCTTATTTGTTTATTTCATGAATATTCATGTAAATGAACAGTTGTGCTACAAAGGCGACAAAGCAACCTCAGTGTAACAAAGTACATATGATAAAGGGAGCGTGTGTAATAAATAGTGCTCTGATACATATAATACATTATTTTATTATGGTCTGTTCTTGATTTTGGAGCACTTCAAGTGGTAAACACAAACCCAGCAGTATGGATAACTCATTCAGTATAACATCTAGGTGGTGCCTGGAGATATCTCAGAATTACAGCTGATCTCCAGACTAGAGAGATCAGTTCCCTTGAAGAAAATGACTGCTTTGGAGGGTGGACTGTACATCATTATATCCCACTAAGGTCCCTCCCCTCCCCAGAACCTATTCTCCTCAGGATCCACTCCCATAACTCCAGGAATCTCCCAACCTGGAAACCTCTTTAAACTGGCTCTAAATCTCAGCTAAACTGTAAGTTACATCTAGGGGTGTGCATTTGGCAATAGCTGAACCACGAAAATCAGAGATCTGTATTCAGCTACCAGTATAGCTGAACCCAAAAAAGCCGATATTATCCAGCTTTTTCCCGGGTTTATTTATTTATTTATTATCTAAATTTATACCCCGCCCTCCCCCGTAGGGCTCAGGGCGGCTTACAGTCAAGATAAAACTTGCAACATAAAACAACAATACAAAATTACCAAAATATATACATTTTAAAAGCATATTATACAATTTAAAAACCCATCCTCAATCACATGAAGTGCTCGGTGAAACCAGGACTCCCAACCCCCCCCCAAAAGATGGCGGGATAGTACCAATGATTCCTGGGAGACAGTCTATAGCGTCGCTATTTATTCAGATGTTCCAAAAGATCTTCCCGGGCTCTTTTCAAGGCCTCCACCAGCCCCCCCCCCAGATGGTAGCATAATGGGGGGGGGCAGCGGCCCCTACTCAAAAGCCTGGTGGAAGAGCTTCATCTTGCAGGCCCTGCGGAACTGCATCAGGTCCTGCAGGGTCCGGATCTCCCCTGGGAGCTCATTCCACCAGGTAGGGGCCGCTACCGAAAAGGCCCTGGCCCTCGTGGCGGCCAATTTCACATCCCTGGGGCCCGGAATAGATAACAAGTTTTGGGCCCCAGACCGTAGTGCTCTTGGGGGAACATACGGGGAAAGGCGGTCCCTCAGGTAGGCGGTCCCTCAGGTAGGGTTCATTTTGCTATACCAAAAACAAGGTCTTTAAACCTAACAGCCTGAGCCACCGCCGACAGTCAGCTGTTGGGTTTAAATGCCTTTCGTTCCCTTCTTTAAATGCCTTTCTTCCCCGTGTCAAGTAGGCTGGGGAAGGGAAGGGTAGGCATGCAGCCATGCCCCCTTCCTTCCCTGCGTCTCTCCATTTTTGCAGAGAAACTCGGGGAAGAGGGGGAATGTTTCCAAGATTGGGAAGAGAAATGAAGGCATTTTAAACATGCCTGGGTTCCCTGCCTGATCTTCTCCAGGTGCCCTGCATGCCTGCCCTTTGCTTCCCTAGCCAGCCCACCATGGCAGGTTGGCTCTCTGCTTTTGCGGAGAAACTTGGGGAAGTGGGGTGGGGCATGTTTAAATGCCTTTCTTTCCCTTCCCCAGATCGAGAAGAGAAAGAAAGGCATTTTAAACATGCTGGGGTTCCCTGCGGGGCACCTGGATAAGATCAGGCAGGGAACCCAGGCATGTTTGCATGCATGCCCTTTGCTGCCCCCTTCCTTCCCTGAGCCTCTATGCTTTTGCAGAGAAACTCAAGAAAGGGAGGGAAAGTGGATGGGGGGCATGTTTAAATGCCTTTATTTCCCGCTCCAAGATTGGGGAGGGAAAGAAAGGCATTTTAAACATGCCTGGGCTCCCTGCCTGCCCTTCTCCAGCTACCCCATGTCAGCTAGAGAAGGGAAGGCAGAGAGCAGAGGCTTTCCCTTGTCAATTTCACTCACAGCTAACTGGGGGGGGGTTAAATTGACAAGGATTCGGAGGCTCCCAACTGTCTGCTCTTAATGATATCATTTATCCTACTATTCCTCCAAGGACTCCAGGGTAGCATACATGGTTCCTCTTCCCATCCTATTTCATTCTCACAATAACACTGGGAAGTAGATCAGGTTGTGAGACAGAGGATGCAGTCACATAGTTGTTTTGATCAGGATTCACCGCTGTTCCCTCTCGCCTGTAAAATCACTGATCAGACAGCCAAATCTGCCTCCCACCCCGAAGCGGGCTCACTCGCACAATGCTCCCAGTTCTCCCCCGCATTTTCCTACACCTGGAAAAATGAGTGTGATTTGGTTTCCCCCCCGACCGCCATTATGTGCATGTGCAGTTATGCACATGATAACACTCGCACATGCACAAATGATTAAAAAAAAATCCCACGCTGCCACTTGGGAGGCACGGTTGTCTGAACTCATCATGCAATTCAAGAGGGACGTGTAACCAGTTTTCATCCAATAAAAAAAGTCATGGATAAACTGACAGCGGAAGCAAGTTGCGGTAAGAGGTCAGTGTGACCACAGCCAGAGAGAACAATCCCCTAAGCATGCCCAATCATATGTAAGTCCCATGTTATTCAGTGGGGTTTACTCCCTGGAAAGCATCCTTAGAAATGCAGCCAGAGCAGCTGGGCTAAGAGCATCATGGTGATTTATGGCTGAGTGGGGATTCGAACCTAGGCCTCTCCAGTCTTACTCTGACACTAATCACTACACCACTGTGAATACAAGTAGTCTGGTTTGTGACTTGCACCTAAGCATTAGGAATTCACTGTTCTACAGAATTTGATTTCCCACTTTTGTACAAAATACTGTGTATATACAGGTTTCCAGTTACTTCTGCTCATTCATGCCTTTCTTTAATGTAGGTTGCTGACGCACACAAGTGCATTGATGAAATACACAGAGAAAGAAATCTTGATGTTTCACAGAATCACAGGAAGGTTCCTTTTTTAATGGCTTTTCATCCCTCTTCAAAAGTGCCTCCATGCTTTGTTAACTTACTTCTCATGCATTAATTTTAGAAATTAATGTTAGAAATTCCCCATGTTAATTTTGATAGAAGATGGAGCAGAACTCAGAGTGGAACCAACCCATGGAACAATAACAAAATAAAACAGGAAAATCTAGTCAGCCCTGTTGAAAAGAGCACTTCATTTTCCTTTCAGAGATCTTGCAGGGGTAATTGAGAAGTGTATGCCCCAGTAGCTTACACTTAGATCCTACTGGTATGCAGTTTGAAAATAATTTCTTGAAAATGTGGACATCTCACTTTACTTCTGATGGCCTCTAGGTTTCTCTGTGTTGCCAGTGTACTTTGCTTTGAGATTTTGTAGTTCTAGAGGATGTGTACTCAAATGGGATACTACTCTCCACTAGGGATGGGCACAAACCTTGTCATGAACCTAATTTCATGACAAATATCACCTGGTTCATGGTTCGTGAGCCAAGGGTCATGTGATTGTGCCCGCAAGGAATCTCTCATGACCCTCCATGTTTTTAGTGGAGGTTTGTGTCAGGGTTCATGCAGCAGACATGCTGGCACCAATCAATTAATTGGCAAAGCAACAGGGAAATGGACTTCCAGGTGAACTCGCAACTTGGACTTCACTCTTGTGCAACATAGGTTGCAAAAGCCATTTAAAGGGAATTTTCCCTTTAAATGGCTTTTGCAAGATCTCCCCCCTTCCATTCTGCTGGCCTTGGGGATCCACCACCAGGGAGCTGCCCCCAGCAGAAAGGGAAAGGGAAGATCTCTTCCCCCTTACCACATCATGGACCTCATGGAACAAACTGGTTCAGTAAATGGGGAGGTTCATGAAGGTTTGTGGTTTCTGTGACCTCACAAAGCAGGATGAGCCTCAATTTTCCTGATTCACACCCATCCCTACTCTCCACTCGGTGTTCTCTGTATTGCAGCCCATTTATGTTGCTGCATACAACAAAATGGAAACCGTTGACAAGTGACCCTGTGCTGGGTCTGGCCGGTTGCCACAGATACCCTTCACTGAAAGCTGGATACACAGACCAAAAGCAAGGCAAGAAACAGCCGAAGGTCTGAAAGCCAGGAAATCAGTCAGAGTTTTCAGGAGCGAGCAGCGAAGGCTGATAGCCGGGAATAGGTCCAAGAATGCACGGTTGCTTCCGCACTGAGGCAGGTGAGCGGAGTTGTTTATGACCCTTTCCTGGGAGTCAATCTGCAAAGACTCACAGCCCCTCATGTTGCCTTTCCAACAGCTTAAGTCTGGCACTCTTCCTTCTCTTTTGCACATTCAGATGCTGCTGTGCCCTGCATCTGGGACAATCAGGTGAGCTAGGTGGGGATTCTGGCCTCAGAGTGTCTCCAACTGGGGTTGCTGGGCCAGGTTCTGGATCAGTCTCTTCCTCTGACTGCATCTCAGTCTCTTTGCCTTGCTGCCCCTCCTGTGAAGATGCTGGGGCCTCTTCTCCCTCAGGTGCTGGTAAAAGTTTCTCTTCTGGGCTGACTCCAGAGGAGGCTGGGTTGATCCATGCCTCTTCCTCATCTGAGGAATAGTCAGCCTCAGCGGAGCCAGAACCCAAGACAGACCCCTTCCAAACTGCATAGACCAGCCCTATGCATCATTTCTTGATCATGCTAGAGTGGGA